GCCAGCCTGGTTTACATAGTGAGTTCCAGGCCAGCTGGGGCTACAGGAAGACCCTTTCTCAGTAGTTCAAAAAAAAAAAAAAAAGAAAAGATGTACAGAATAATTGTAAATCAAATTCACTGCCATATTAAAAATATCATAAACCATTATCAAATTGATTTCATTCCAGTGATGATGATTTAAAAAGATGAGAAACAACAAGTTTAACAGTATGAAATTAGAAGTTGAAGACAGCACTTCCAATAAACAGCAGTGAGATATCCACATGTAGAGCTTGATGTAGAACCCATCTCTCATGCTGTGCAAAATGTATCTCAAAATGGATCAAAGATCCCTGCACGTGTAATGAAAATTTACAATGACTTGAAGAAAATCTTCATGATCTTAGCAAAGAGGAAAGTATTTAGATTAGAATTTCGCTAGCCAAAGAAACTATAGCCACTTCAAAAATGGAACTCAAAAAATTAGATCAATTACATCTCATTTCATTAGAATGGCTGTCACAAATTTGAAAACTCCAAAACTATCAGATATGTCATATAAAGCAACATTTATATATTGTATTTGTATATATGAAAATTATATAGCCGGTATGGAAAACATTAACGTTTCCTCACACAAATAACATTAGAACTAATGCGTGATCCATAGATATCTCTCTTGACTGATACATCCTGAGGGAAATTATCAGCAGGAAAAAGAGAATTATGTATACCCATGTTTCCCAGAGAACTATTTGAAATGGCTCAAATATGGAATGCACCTAGGCTTTGATCAACTGATAAATGCACAGAAGTATTAGTATATTTACATAATGTTGTATTATTCAGCCATAACCAATAATAAGATCATGTCATCCTCAGGAAAATGACTGAAATTAGAGCATATGTCATGAAGCAATAAAACATACAAAAAAAAAGTATTTCCTAATTTGTTTGAAATGTTAAAACCAAATAAAAATGCCAGTAAAACCTCCTGAGGTAGAAGGGAAGTGAAAGGCACCATTGGGCACATCTTCCCTGACAGGTTGTTATTTTTGCCCACTATTTTAAAAAATATTTTATATACTATTTTTATTTGATATGTATCAGTGTTATGCCTATATATAGGTAAGTGCACCTAGGTTGTGCAATGGCCATGGAGGACAGAAGAGGCTGTCAGATTCCCTGAAACTGGACAGTTGTTAGCTGCCTTGTTGGTGCTGGGATTCAAACCTGGGTCTTCTGCATAGAACAGTAGGTGTTCTTAACCACTGAACCATCTCTCCAGCCACCTTTGCTTACTATTTTATGTAAGTCTAAGCTATTAATGACCCCTAGCTGCCTGCATGGAAACTTCTTTCAGTATCAAAGTTGGTCAAGAAGAATGAAGCTTCCAGGACATTATTTCTCTTGTCAGAGAAAGAGCAAGGAAAATGGAAGAGCAAGCACAGAGATATCGGGAAAGCAAAATCCCAAGACAGGGAGAAAGTAGGAAACAGATGTTACCAATGAGGAAATGGGGAACATGGGGCTATTCACCTGGAAAGGCAGGAGAGGGGTACTTACAAAGAAGCATGGGAGGTAAGGGGAAGAAGGAACTCAAGAGGCTGGGGAGATATAAACTGGGGAGGGAGGAGGGATAGTTGGACAGGGAGACAGATAGGAGAGATAAATAGAGCTTAGGGAGCATAAAAAACCCTCAGAAATAAGTTTATTAACTAAATTCAACCCCTCTTGAAAAATACACATTAAATATCTGAACATGACTGAAAGTGTCTACCTGAAAGCTGAGGACAAAGGAACACAGTACCTGATAGGAGAAACCTCCCTCTGAGTTGTTGGTCAGGGTGACCCAAGGGACTCCAAACTATTATAGACTGTTGCTTTAGCCCTTTATTTCACCTCCCAGAACATGAAGGTAAAGCCAAATTACAGATGATAGAACATATTTCAGATATAGGACTTGAAACAATGGAGTTGGAACTAATCTGGATGCCTTCTCCCTGAAGACCAGCACTTATAGTTTTATATGCAAGCTGCTAAAAGGGAAAAAATCAATCAATTGTCCAACCCATATCCAGGGCCCAATAACCACAATGGCCCACACATCAAACTAGCTCTACTGGTGCAGTAGTGAAACCTTTACCTAGGCGGTGATCAACAGCTATCTACCTGGACTTAAAGCCCTCTAAATGGTAAGAAACTCATAGGCGGCACTGTAAATATAGCCAAATGCACTTGGCTAAAGAGATCATAGATCTCTGAGATGCTAAATATGGATTATTATATTTATAGACAAGAATACAGTACACCACTCATCAAAGAATCTCCTTTATGTAACAGATGGAGGCTGTTACAAAGTTCCACAACTGGTCAAACATAGAGATTATATGTCTGAAAGATGTCCAGCCTAAATGATACATCCACAGTTGAACCTCTATGCCTGACTCATAAAATATAGGTGAACAGGGCATAGAGATAAGACTAATACACCCCTCAACTCTCAGCAGCAAAGCTTCCTCAAAAAAGAGTGTGATACACACAGAAGGCCACACCTAGCTAAGTTTTGTAGAATAGGATGCTACAATGTCCATGGGTAGAACTCCAATAGTAAACCTTACCCACCAACAGCTCAGGGACCATTGTGGAAGAGGGGGGAAACAGAATGTAAGAGCCAGGGCTGGTGCATGAGCATAAACAACAGAGGCTTTCAGACTGCTCGGGAAATTGTTCATATGACCTTTCTAGGTGACAGCAAAGACAAGATCCAGGCCAACTCAACCAGACAAAACCCCAGAATAGAATGAAGGAAATGGGAAGCAGGCCTCAAATTTTGTAGTAGAACTATTGGCAACTGATTACTGTCAGGTGAGGGAGAGTAGATTTCTTCAAGTGAGTGATTCTACTTAGGCTAACTAGGCTATATGTATAACTTGCTATATATATATATGTATATTATATGTATGAACGTGTTGGGGGTGTGTATGGGGGTCATGGATACGGCAGTTGTCAAAGTTTGATTAAGATTTCCAATATGAAATGAAAAACCCAGTTGAAATTTTTTCTTGAAGCAGTCTTTGCACTTCTATCTGCTTTTATTCCTCTCTTTCTCTCATTCTTTCACTCACCCTGGACCATGCTCAGGTCTCAACATAACTAAGCAAGGACTCTGTGATCTCTTTTCATTGTTTCCTGAAAACATAGCAATTTCCATGATATACTACTCACAAAGTTTATTTTTTTCATGGTTTACCCAAGTAGACTGCATTCTATATGGTGCATAAATCAATGCTTCTTTGTTCTTTTGCACACTAACACATAGTAGAGATCTAAATTATATTCTTGAATAAATGATAATTTTTTAGCAGTTGCACATGAAATTCCTAGTATAACTGACAATATCCTAAAAGGATACTAATTTACCTGCCTGACAGAAGGGAAATGCAGGGACTTGTCAGTGTATGGGAATATATGAGCCTATAATAGAAAGAATGCTGTAATGCACTTTTTATATCTCGCTTGTAAAATAAACAGCCCAACAAGAGAAGCAATATCATTTTCTGAAAATTACAGAGGAATGCAAGCAAGGAAAGGTGTGGTGTTACCTTAGGCAGAGGTTTGGCAGGTTTGCAGTGAAGTCCTCCCACAAATTCAAAATTTGGTAAGAGGGGACGAGGAAATTCTAAATCCCAATATGTTCGAATGAGCCACATATCTGCTTTTCCCATCATCTCAAATATTGTTGTGGGTCTCCCTGGAGCAAAACAAAAAATACAAAATGCAGAATAATGTGAGAGGGTTGTCTAGAATTAGCATGTGATTTCTATAGGTCATCTGAAATAATACAAAGAAGGTCTTCAAATATTTGAATTTTGATTAACATATCTATATATAGGAATACAAATGTTAAGCTATACATACATTAATAAATTGTATCACAGCTGTATAGCAGCTGTTAATTTAGAAACTCCATGTTATACTAAATGAATCTTATTATATTAAAAAAATAGTTTTCATAGAATATTTCATCTAATTTTACAATATAGATGCCCTGTCCTTGATACTTGATTCTTCACATAAATTGTGATAACTTGGAGAATGTCATTGAATTCCGTATAGCTACTATTGTAATTTGTTCATCATAGTAGTTTAGTAATATTAACTTGAACACAGTGGTAAATGTTTCAAAAATTATTCATATTCAAATTTTGCTTATTCATACTTTAGATTGTATTTTATTTATTGGAGAGGAATTTTGAAAGCAAAAACTAATAAAGCATATCCATTTTGTAGCAAGGATTTAAGCTTTAAAACATGATTGCTGTCAATATGCGAAGTCTGAAATTACACAGAGCTCTCTTTCTGATCTTAAAAGAAATGCTCAATTGTGAAGGATATTTCATGATGTTACAGTTAAATAGTCAATTTATACATGAAGTACCTGATTTGCAAAGTGAAATATTTGCCCTGATGTTCCATAGGTGATAGTGGTGGAGGAAAAGAAGTTCTCAGTGCTCATATCTATGATCATTAAAATACATGAACATTTATAATTACTTTTATTGAAGTAATATAACACACAAGGTAAACCACAAGTAATTCTTCAGAGAAATTCTTTTTGGCTCAATTTGTAGAAATATTAATTTTAATTTCTGGAGTATTCTGAACCACTCCCTGGTGTCTCTTTGCTTCTGAGATTGCTTGATTAACTTGTATTGTTTTTTCAGTTCATAATTAACAGTCACATTCTTCTAGTTTCATATTAATTCAGAAACACTCACGTTCAATGAAATAGTCTGAATTTCAAAGTAACAATGTAAGACAGAGCTTACCTAGCACTTCGCTGTAAAACTGATTCCACTTCTTTACATTAAATCCTTGGAACCAAAAGTCAAAGTATAAAACATGCATCATATTCTTTACCCTCTCCACAAATGTCATCCGGTCACTTAATTCTGACAAAACTACGGGCACATAGGAAGGAGGGAACGGAAGTCCCCCACTAAACCTTTCAAAGTTATATCCAAAAGAGGCGCGAAGAGTGTACACGAGTGGTATTTTAAATACCTCCGCCAGCAGCTCACCACAGGGACCAATTGCATCTGCGAGAACAACATCAAACTTTGATTCCTGTAGTTTCTTCATAAGACTCTTGTTCCTAACTACTGCTTTGCATAAATTTTCAATAGTATCAGAATATTTATAAAAGGATTTTTCCAATTGTGAAAAATATGTCCAAAATGATTTTTTCCCATAAATATTTGTCCATTCTGTTACCCATTCTATAAACATATATTCCAGATCATCTTTACTCATTGATGTAGGGAAAATCACGAATTTAATAGTAGATGATTTGCTGGGATCAATAAGGACGGAAGCTGAAGATGTCAGAACAGTTACTTCATGCCCTCTCTCAACAAGTTCATCCAGGATTATCTTTATGTTCATCCAATGACTGTATTCTGTGGGCCACACCAGCACTTTTCCACAAGTTCCAGATCTGAAGTAGCATATCAGCTGTGTCAAGAGCAGGACTGAAGACCATTTCACAGACATCTTCCTGCAATGCAATTCTTTCTGCATTTACTGTTACTCTCTATAGCCTTCCATGTTTATATGTAACGACAAATCAATCAAGAAGTTAACACATAACTTCTACAATTCAAAGTGCAGGAATAATATGATAAGCTTGATCACCTGATTTCACATGTAAATAAATACATGGAGCTTGAACTGAAGATGTTGAAATCAAGTGCTCCAGAAATAGGCTGTGTTATTTTGTGGGTTTCATGGACCACTGTGACCAAGAACTCAAAGGGAGGTAATTCCTGTCTGGTAGTGCGCTCCTTGCCTTACAACCCCCAGTTATGCACATTCACTAATGTTCAAACACTGTATATGTATTTCTCAGAGGGTTCCTGAGTCAACACATTTCCTTCTGGTTTCACATCACCCAAGCTCCATTCATCTCTTCTCTGTCCCCTAACCAACCTCCCTCCTCCCTCCCCAGTCCAAACACCCCTTTCCCCATTCTCCTCCCATAGCACTTGCCCTCCACCATCTGTCCTCTCCTCAGTTAGAATATGCTAATAAATTTCATTTGTCTATATTTATGACAGAGGTAGGGTTTTCTCTAATATCTATGACCTCTCCAGCCACATATTTGTTTATGATTACAGTACCACCTATAAGTTCCCTCCCTTTGAAAGGACTTTAAGTCCAATTAGATAGCTTTTGATCACTCCCTCCAGATAGCGTTCCAGTATTGCACCAATAGAGGTAGTTTGACACCCCTGCCCTATGGTTCCCTACATGTACCTCCATCCTCCCCACCCCGCCAAACACTCTACCTTTTCGGAACTCCCACCTTGTAACACCTGTTCCCTACTATTCCCCACTTTCAGGCTCTTTTTTTTCCTTCACCTCTGTGTTTCCTTTCAATCTTCCTGGCTCCTGGTGTTAAATCAGGATATATATATATATATAAATATATAGGGGATTGATGATATAATCTTCAAATGAGGGAGAACATTGCTTGCATTTCTGAGTTTGTGTTACTTCGCTTAGTATAACAGTTTCTAGTTCCATCCATTTATCTGAAAATTTCATAATTTCATCTTTTCTTACTGCTGAGTAGAACTCTGTTGAGTAAACATACCACATTTTCATTATTCATTTAACAATTGAGGGACATTTAACTTGTTTCCATTTCTTAGCTATTTTGAAAAGAGCAGCAACAAACATGGATGTACAGGT